AAACATGATGGTAGTTTGCGACTCTGCGTGGATTACCGGGCTCTAAACAAAATCACCGTGAAAAACAAGTACCCTATTCCGCTAATGGCAGACTTGTTTGATAGACTGGGTGGTGCGACGGTATTCACCAAAATAGACCTGAGGACAGGTTATTGGCAAGTTCGTATTGCAGAGGGTGATGAGCACAAGACGACTTGTGTGACAAGATATGCGTCGTACGACTTCCTGGTTATGCCCTTTGGCTTGACTAACGCGCCAGCCACATTTTGCACCTTGATGAACCAAGTCTTCCGAGAATACATTGATGAATTCGTCGTGGTTTATTTGGATGACATTGTGGTATATAGCCAGACACTGGAAGAACACCTGGAGCATTTGCGGAAGGTCCTAGCCCGATTGCGGGAGCACGAATTATATGCGAAGCTATCCAAGTGCTCCTTTGCTCAGAAATAAATTGACTTCCTCGGACATGTCATCGAGGAAGGGCAGATCAAGATGGACAAGCAGAAGATTCAGGCCATCACAGAATGGCCGCCTCCTAAGGATATCCACGCCTTGAGGTCGTTCCTTGGCCTATGCAACTTCTATCGGTGTTTTGTGAAAAGTTACTTCCTCATTGCAGTGCCGCTGACAGAACTTCTCAAGAAGGTCACACCGTGGGATTGGGGCCCCAAGCGGGCAGAGGCTTTCGACGCATTGAAGATGGCTATGTCTAGTAGCCCAGTCTTGGCCCTCCCTGACTTGGCCAAGCCATTCGAAGTACATACGGATGCCTCCGACTATGCACTTGGTGGAGTATTGCTACAAGAAGGGCATCCCGTAGCATACGAGAGCCGGAAGCTGAAGGATGCAGAGCGGCGCTATGCCGCCCATGAGAAAGAATTATTGGCTGTCGTTCATTGCTTATGCCTTTGGAGGCATTATCTACTGGGATCCCCATTCGTGGTCAAGATAGACAACACAGTGGTTAGCCATTTCATGACCCAACCAAAGCTGAATGGTCAACAGGTAAGATGGCAGGAACTCCTAGCGGAATTTTACTTCAACCTAGAGTACCGAAGTGGGAGGACCAATCATGTTGCTGATGCACTCAGCCAGAGAGCTGATCTAGCATCGGTGTGTCTACTCGCAGCCCTAAAGGGAAGCGAAGTAACCACCACCATAAAAGACCAAATACAGGATCTACTCATCAAGGATCCTGCTGCACAATATTTGGTTGATTTGGTAGAACAGGGCAAGACTCGCCAGTTCTACACCGAAGATGGTTTCCTGAAAGTGAAAGAGAACCGACTTTATGTTCCTAAAGGAGGAGATCTGCGAAGGGCCCTTCTGGCGGAATGCCACGATAGTTTGTGGGCCGGTCATCCCGGTGAGGAACGCACCATGGCATTGCTTCGCCGTGCATATTATTGGCCTCAAATGGTCGATGGCGTCGCTCAGTATGTGAAGACTTGTCTAGTATGCCAGAAGGATAAGTCAGACCGTTTGACGCAGGCAGGGCTCTTGGAACCACTAGCTATCCCAAAAAGACCTTGGGAAAGCGTTTCCCTGGACTTCATCACCGGATTGCCCAAGGTCGGAGATCTCACAACTATCTTGGTTGTGGTGGATCGGTTTTCCAAGTATGCTACCTTTATAGCAACCCCACAATATATATCAGCAGAAGATACAGCTCGACTAGAGGAATATCTCCGGCACTTTGTGACCGGATCGCAGAAGAACTGGGTGAAGCTTCTGGATGCTGCTCAACTGTGTTTCAATTCACAAAAAAGCTCAAGTACCAACAAAAGCGCTTTTGAAATTGTTACCGGATAGCAACCGCTACTCCCACACTCAGTGAACGCCCCAAATATGTCAAAATCTCCTTGAGCTGCTAGCTTCTCAAAAGAATGGAAGCAAAATTTGGAGATAGTACTGAGCTATCTTGTCAAAGCCCAAAAGCGGATGAAGAGGCATGCTGATCAGAATCGCCGCTTTGTTGAATACCAAGTGGGAGACAAAGTGATGGTCAAAATCCCAAAGCGGTACTTGTTTGCAGGGGTTCATGACCCCCGCCTATTGCAAAAATATATTGGACCCTTATCCATTGAAAAGCGCATTGGAAAAGTTGCATACCGGGTGGATACCCCAGCTTGGTGGAAAATCCATCCTGTTTTCCATGTCAGTCTCCTGAAACCTTTTCCGGAAGATAAGGAGGATCCTTCATGAAGCCAACTCACAATACCAAGTATTCGAGGTTCCAATTCAACCGGGAAAAGGCGTGCTAAAGCTATTCTGGATGATCGAGTGATTCACGCCTCAAGAAAAGATCACCAGGAGTTCTTGGTGAAATGGCAGGGATGTGATGCAGAGGAGAATACTTGGGAGAGGGGAACAAACCTCAAAGCCTAAAAGAGCCTGATTGATGATTACCTTGCAAGGAAGACGCCGAGGACGTCACCAACTCAGGTGGGGGAGAATGTCATGGGCGGCTTTCCAACCATGCCCCATGACCCCTTGGACGCGCCCCGTGGCGTCCTGGCCAGCCTCCCAACGCCCGTCGCCACGGTCGGCCCCGTGGTCTCGGCAGCTCCAAGTGACAAGCGCGCATGTGCCTCTGTCGCCCCACCGATAGCCATCGCCAGCGCCCAGCCACAGGCAGATGCCAACAGCGCCGCACGTGCAGACCTGATGCNGCGCAGACCCTGATGCTAAAGACAAAGTTGCTGCCAACGGACTTGTTTCTGCTTTGTAGAAGACTAAGTCCTTTTCATTGTAAATATAGAGTAGTTTTACTGCATTTTCTTTAAGTGTGATTTTCCAGCTTTTATAGGCCTAGTGATGTAACTTTGGTTTATTTTTTTTTAAGCATTATTAAGGGGGATCAAGCAATCAAACTTTCAAGCAAGCAAACAATTCTCTGTACTGGTATCTTTCCCCTCCGATACCGTGTTCTTTTTCTGTAATAGCTTTCATTCAATGCAATCAAGCTTTCTTTCATTCTCAATTCTCTTTTCCGCTCTCTCTTTCAATTGATCACGACATTGGTTTTTCCGTATGACACTGACAATCTAGTCTAGCGTACGGAGGGGACCTCAGTTGGCGGACAGCAATCGCACTGATATCGGTTGCTTAGCCTTACGTCGCCCTTCCAAGAAATATCATGAAGGCGCCGTGTAACAGCTTACCAATGCACTTTTGCCCTGAAAAGAGTACGTGTCTCTTCCATTTGCTTCTAAAGCATGCTGATTCCACGTGTCTTTAATCCAACACAGACAATATATTACCTTTACCTAATATTGCAACTTTTTCCTGCTTTCTCTGGTTCATCGCTTTCTTGCTATCTCTCTTGGGTCCATTTCTATTATTTTGCTGGATTTTTTTTTGAGTATCTGATTTGCGTTTATCGGCATATTTTGCATGTCTTCTTCGACTTCTTTTTCTAGGTTTTGTGAGTTTGCTTCTGCAATTTCCTTTTGGTGTAATTGCTATCTCTTTGGTGCGTATTATATTTATTTGTTATCACAATATTTTGTGACTGTAAAACTTTCGTAGGTCTAGCCTGATATACAGATCACTTTATGTGTTTTTTATTTCTGAATTATTTTATATGTGGAAATATTAATTTTGAATGTCTGATTTTGATTCTGAACCGTATCTATCTGCTTTAAGGTTCCAAGAGATTTCAAAAATTATGTTCAGGTGGTGGGACCAATTGTTTCAACGAGGAAGTATCAGGTGAATGAAAAAAACGTTTTCAATTACGTTCTGTCAATATGTAAGTTCATACATGGCAGAGTATGATAAATTGAAAATACCTCCTAATGTGTTTTAACATCTTTTTTCCCAGGGGCAAATTCTTAGAGGCAGGCTAAGGTTCTAAAGTGGATTGAAGCTCATATTACAGTTGTCCACATAAGCTATCAAAACTTTATGAAATCAGAATTGTGTTATAGAAAGAATTTAGCTTTGAACTCTTTCTTCCTTTTGCAGGAATATTATGGCTAAAGATGGACCAAGATGGAGAAAGGCATGTAAATTTGCTCTTTGTTATTGTATGTTTGACTGTTGTTATATGTAAATTTTCACATTCAGATTCAGGGTTAGGATATAATACTTTATCTATGAACTTCCTTGCATTTGGAGTTTATATATGAGATTGCAATATGTTCTTGGATATTATAAAATTAGCAAAATCTAGCTATTGATATGAATTTTCCTTTTCCTCTAACAGAGATGCATAATATCCAGTTCCTTTTGGACTGTTAATGCATCATCTAAGATACGTGTCCTCTGACCTTAAAAAGGAAAAGGCACGTATCAATGCCTTATCTTTCTCTGAAATATTCTACATCGTTTTAATCTTCTTGCTTTCATTGCCTTCTGGATTTATTCATCCTCTTCTGTAGCTGATTCATAAAAGATCTTGAGGATTAACCTGGTGCTTCTGAATCTGTAGTGAAAAATGACTGAAGACCCTTTCTCTTCAGGTATTCCTTTCTCTATCAAAAAATTCCCCATACAGATTATGATTATTATACCCACAAGGGAAAAAGGGCGTTTTCTTATAAATTATTTGCTCTTAATCGTTTTAATAGCATTTACTCTCGCTATATATTTGAATCCCCTTTTAATTTTTGGTTTAGACATGGAAATGTGAGGAGGGAGGGGGAGGAAGGCAAATATGTTTCTATGAAGTTATGGCCATTTAATCCAGTTGCCTATTTTGGTATTTTATTTTGTGTCTAATCTCCATGTGTAAAGAAACATGTTAATTAACATTAAGTGTTTAATTGGATCACAGTATCACCCTGATAAACCTTTTGGTTTCCAATATCATCGCGTGTGATTCAAAATAACCTTTCTAATATGCTCTATTGCAATTTAGGTATTATTTTTGAATGGTCGTAGTTTCAGGAAATTGATGCAATATGTGCATTTGGACAGATGCGCCTTGAGATATAATTTTTGAAGCCAATGTTGTTACACGTCCGCTTAAGCCCTAAAGCTCGGAAAAGATCAAGTTGTGTGCTTTGCCTCGATATTTATAGAAACATTAACTGTTTAATTATTGGCAATGTTAAATATTGCTTAGTTAAACTCAACCAGCATATTACCAGCATATTGATACTAAGTGAAATATCGTGGGGTTTACCTTTTAAAACAATAAGGGTGGTGGTATTATGCATTAGCTGTTTATATCCTATATTTTTTTTACTTAAAATGTGTGTAGCATATGTTACTTACTTCTTAGAAGTACTTTGTATCTTTTTGAAATAAGTTTAGAAGGTAGAGGAAAGCTAACTGCTTCAAGGGCTAAGAGTTGGAATTTTACAGAAAACGATGATGCATCTAATGCAGGTTGTTGTTGGTGGATTCTTGGGATTGCAACAGTAGCAATTGCTTGGCGATTAGGGGCTCCGGATATCAAGCATGAAGTTAGATAAGCTTTTGCATTCTACTGTTGCAACCATACAAATAATCAAAGTAGTCGACAGATATCACCAATTTTCTCATTATTTTGTCTCACTTCTGAATTCCTCTTCAAGACACTATATGCAGTTACGCGATAATCAGATCAAGTGACACTTATGCAAGAGGACTAATATTGATGAAAGTCCCTTCCTCTAATACATGTAATCTATCTTCATTCTCTACCACCACTTTTCCTATATTAAGTGTTTTTACGTGTGGGACGTTATAAAATATATTGTCAACAGAAGCTTTTTGCCTTTCTTCTTTCTCCACAATTTAGGACTCTCTTTCTCCTCTGTTTATGTAACTACAAAAATATCTTCCACGTTGTCCTAATTTACTTCTTACTGATGTGCATGATGTGTAGGCATATAGGAGTTGGAGACAAGAATTTGTTACTTCCTATTTACTGGTAATATGGTGGTTGAGTTTATATTGTGGTCATGCAATATTGTCCTTATGTGGCTATTCCCTTTGTAAACAGAAAATTACTTAACATGGTTCTTTTTATGTCGTCATTTATGAAATATCGAGCATTATAGTTGTCTTTCTTACTTGACTCTAGGTGCTTTTATCCTCAAGTACTAAGGTAGTTACCTTTCCTATACTAGAAGTTTGAGGAGCAAACGAGTATTTGATAGTTTCTACGGAAATTTTGATTTGTCTTACAAGTTGTGATCAAAGAATCTCAAGATGAATTTTGGTCTTTTTGGATGAAACGTAATTCGTTAGTTAATTCTTCATTGGAAATTGCTCACCTTATCCAACTTCAAATAATTCTGAAATGTTATTGGTTCTGCTGTTGATGATGCTCTTCCAGTAGAGTTTATTTTGGTTCATCTCTAGCTTACTGGTTCCTTTTGCAATCAATTGTGCTCACAATCAACTGTTGATGATGCTCTTCAAGTAGAGTTTACCAACATTTTGAGTCATCTCTTGCACTCTGGTGATGGTTATGCTTTGTTCGATGTCATTCTTCGACCAAAATGATAACTTCATGATGACTCTCAGTTGTATGAAAATGTAAAATCTCCTCCTAGAGGAAGTTGTTGTACTCTATAGGGTAGTAGTTCTGGACAACCGACTCCTACGAACGTTTTTGGAGTGTTTTCTTGTGATATCTCATTAGTGGAGCAGCTAAGAAGAGGGGGGAGGGGGTATAAGTATAAAAGAATGAAAGGAGTCTTATTTTATTCATAAGATATTTCGCGTGATAGAATATCATTCTCATGCTTTATATAACTATATATATATATATGACATAAACCCAAACATCACAACAAATACCATTTAATCTATACTTCTCGGTCACTGAATGTAGTTAAAGAACCCAAGGTAAGTTGACCAAATCCGATATGGGTCACACATCCACATGGCCACACCCATGTGTTGACATGGGTGCGGCAGAAATTTTGAAGAGTTCGCATAACATAGTTGATGGTTACACTTTGAGGAGCAGTAAACTTTTGTAAATTAGTCTAACCAACAATAAATAACATACAGTTATTTATTGTTTTAGCATCTTTAGATCTACTGAATGTTATATAAGTTTAAATGCTTAACTGACAATCATTTAGCAATTGCGACCGTGAGTATACAATATTTTCTACGAATTAAAACATTGTTCCATAATATGAGGATCACCGAGGTTTATATTAGAAAGAAATGAGACAACATTTCATAAGTATTCCTAAAAAGCTAAAACAGAACAATAATTAACAATATGGTTCGCAGGTTTAAAGTATTATGTTATACTTATGTATTATATTTATTCAATACTATCAGTTAGTAAATATTCCATTGTTTGCAGGGTTTTGAAAGATCAAGTGAGTGGCTTCTCATTGGAGTGAGCCAAAAAGGACTATAAGATCTTTGACCGAGAATAAATATGAGTGCATGTCAATATCACACTTACCGTACATGTTTGTTTGGCATCTGAACTCCTAAATCTTGCAATGTACCGTGAGTTTGGGTACGTAGAGGAAGAAAACCTGAATGACTACTAACCAATTATCAAATTGTAGATTCGAAAGCTGTTTATGCAGGGCGTGCTGGTTTAATTTGAAACAGGGAAGTTTTGAACAGGAAAGAATCAAAACTGAAAAGTCTGTTCCAAATCCCAAATACAGTAGGTAAATCATTAGAAGACTTGTGGCAGTGCTGAGCACCAAGTGCCATTTATAGTTGTTTTGTCAACTAATTCAGGCGGTCATCGGTTCTATTTTTTGGTCCGATGGAGAGGATACAATGCGAAGACAATCCAGCCAACAAATGTATGATTCATACATTTGGATTCATAACAGGTTATCTTGGTGCTGTACTATAGCAAATCTGTTCAAAGGCAGATAAAAGAATGCGCCAGCTACTATTTAATTTACAATGTTGGGCCTGTGCTGCTGGCACGGGTTATCACCACCTAGTTTAAAAATATGAGAACGATCCCATTTCCTTTTTAAACAGTGTTATTTTATACATTTAGCTTTAAGCTTAATTACCATTAAAATATCATTTGATCAAAATAGCACTTCAACATCATACTTTGACGAACAATTTCAAAAATTCCGTTTAAGTCGCATTTCATGCCTTTAACATCAAAATAAGGTTTTAGTAAAACTTATAACATTTTCGCCTCACGTGCCATTTCTCCAATAAATTTCAAAATGGGGATTTTATTCTTAATAATTATTTATAAAACCAAATGACACTTTATATGCATAATAATTTATAACACATGGTGAACCCGTACTCGTTCGTCCCCACAAGCACGAATTCACATTTATAATCAATTTATATGAGGTCATGTATTTAGAGAAAATTCCTCAAACAAGAGTAAGTCTAATAAATTTACCTCAAGTCGCTTTCCAAATCTTACCCAAGAGTTTAACGACGTCAACAATCCATAATCTACATGTCCGAGCTCACATCTATCAATAACACGTCACAACAACACAAACCAAATCAACTAAGTGTCTAACACTTAGGTCAAATTTCAAAAGTTTCACAAAAATCTTTATTTCACCATTCGAAGGTCAATCCTTGAGTTTTAACTCTAATTCATCCGGTAAATCTCGAATGTTAGTCTTTGGTCGCATTTAAGTCCAAAAGTTTATCATCCAAACTTTCCTTTACATATTGAATCTTTAGTCTCTTAAAATTTGACTAACTCTCTATATTTTCAAAAATTTCAACAGAGTTTTTTTTGTTTCTAGGCTTATCGAAAAAAATTTCACGTGCCAGCGAACCAGAAGAATATAATATAAAGGCCCCACATGGATCTACTCACCCGAACTATATCAATAAATATTTTATGACCTTTAATGCCTCAAAATACCACCAAATAACCACTCTCGAAATCACAATACTAAAATCTATTACAATGTAAAGAAAATCTAGCCACCATAGGCAATAAGTGAATCAACTACATTACATAAATGTACTAAATCTCAATTCGTAATCAAGGTAACCAATTTACTTATTCTCTCATGGAATAACATGATCATCACCAAATTTAAAATTCTAGAAAAGGTCATGCGTGCAGTCGCGTGTGGACATCAGATTTTTTTTTTTTGCTATTCATCTTGGCCTCCTAAGTGGCCTCCTCGAAGTCATGATTACACTATAATATTTTAGCTGAAGCAATATATTTAATTTCTAAACTACAAACTTGCATATGAAGAATCCCTATTGATTCTTTCTCGTAATTCAAACCATCATTCTCAAAATCTAAACATTCCTATCTAAAATACAAAATGACATTACTTCTAAGGTTATTACCTCATTCATTGCACGACGTGTCTTGTCGCCCACATATTTTTATAGTTAGGAAAATAGAAGATCAGACCTGCTAAAGGTAGTCCGGTGGCAACATAAATTCACGTATAACCCCACTTTTTCTAATAATGTCACTCACCTCAAGGAGTATGCTTTACCATCTAAGTCTCGTTACACTTTTTCACTATTTCCTTTTAAGAATACCACGTCATAACTCTTAAACTCACATTCTAGGTGACATCCACCCAACAGATCGCCATTTCACCCTCTGCGAGACAAAGATCTCAAAAATTCTATGCTTGAGATGTTACATATGTATTTTCATCCCTACATCCCCTCTATAACTACGAGTTCGCCGTAACACTTAAAGTAATGTTACATAACCCATTCTCCATTTCCAAGCCTTTAACTAAATTCATACTTAAGAATTTTTTTTTCCCGTTTTCTCCCCTCTTTAGGGATTTTATCCCATTAATTTTCCATCCATTCGAGACTCTTAGGTCGTCCACTTTCATTTAAGACTTTTCGTTATTTATTCAAAAGTCTAGCTCGATATTGTCTTATCTTAATACATAGTTTATCTCCTTGTCTTCATGGTGCTTGCAACTAGAGTACCTATTGATTCCACAACTAATAAGTTTAATTCGTGGAAAGATATTCATTCTCCACTATTACCAAATTTGTGACACACACATACCAAAATTTTTTGATTGTCGATATTTGTGTTTCTATCCTCTTACTTTAAGAAGTTATTATTGTTGCAATATTACCTCAACATATAGGCCTTCAACACTTGGTTATTAATGTGATCTAGATGATACTTACATCCTTTAAAAACTTGTACTCCCACAATTATTTTGCCTTTCACTTGGGTACCATGTCCTAACCCATATAATCCACTTCTGGTATAAGAATGCATTTGAAAAAAAATGAAAGAAAGAGAAAAAAAATCTTTTCCTATTTTATCCCGCACCGAGTGTGCGCACATAATATTCATGCTTAAGTACCATACCCTCAAACCGCAACTCATGTTGTTAAGTGTCATCTTTCTCTGCTCTTATAACTAAAGTATGATTAACACATTATTCCTTCTATAATTGTACTATCCTCGTGACTTTCTAACGTCACGCTCCTTTGTCCATGCTCAAATATACATTTGGCAAGTACAACTCTATTGCGCTTTTCATGAGTCCATGTTCACCTACATTTTCTGCAAATACTACTCCATTACGCCTCCGAGTTCGAGCATAAATATATCATCGGAAAGTACGACTTCTTGACGCCCTTGAGTCCATGCTCCACCATTTTGAACAAGTACGACTACTTCACGAGAAATTGGTATACCATCTTCGTGCAAATTTTCACAGTAAATCTTATTTTCACGATAATATATGCAAGCAACTCATGGTTTATCTGCATATACCATATAAATTTTCAAAAAAACATCCACATACACAAATTCTCGGGGCATACCCTTACTACCCATCGAATTCAATACGTGATTACACAATGAGCACCTTCATGTCTTATAAGATATTTTTAGCCTCATTCTCAACACAACACATTTAGGATGCATAAGATAGTGCAAATCTTTGAACTACTTGAAATCCTTCGACTTCTAGAATGTATCATTAGTGCTCTCTAGCTCTTTAGCCTTAAGTCGTTCATGCAGTATTTACAACCCATTCAATTGTCACGACCCAATTTTCCCTCCGTTGGGTATCATGATGGCACCTAGTCTTAGGGACTAGGTAAGCCTAACATTTACTGAATAACAACCATAATAAATAACATCTAACAACTTAAAATGGAATTCTTTATACAAGTTTATAATTTCTAAAACCGGTAGTGCAAGTCATAAGTTCTACAGAGATTTGCTACAAATTTCTAAATACAACTTTTTGAAAATAGGTAAAACAGTGTGAATACAAAATGGGAAGGTGACTCTGAAGCCTGCGAACGCAGCAGCAGGTTTACCTTGAGTCTCCACAGCAACAGTCCGCACAGCTAGCTAATGATCAACTGACTTCGAAAATACCTGGATCTGAACAAAAATGTGCAGAAGTGTAGTATGATTACACCATGAAGGTACCCAACAAGTGTCAAGACTAACCTCAGTGGAGTAGTGACGAGGTATAATCAAGACACCTACTGGACTAAATATCCTGAAGAAGTATAAGTATAGAAATAACAGAGGATGATATCTATATAAAGACTACGCGAAGTGGCAATTAATACGGTAATTGCGATAAGGAAGGAAAACAACAACTATCAGCGGAACACCATAATAATGACATAGAAGAATGAACGAAAACACAGCCTAAGTCCGATAATTACAGATAAAGAAAGGACAAGTAACAACTCAACAGTGCGACAGCTTTCACACCGGGTTTTAGTCAATAAACTCCACGAGGTACCGAACCTCAGACTATCACAACTCACGGGTCTCAATACCTGAACCCTAATACTTGGCATTATGTGCCCTCATTATACCTCATAACCGCACTGACAACTCGCGTGCCAAATAGAGTCATTCTCACATAGAAGGCAAGTAAGCAAGGGTGTGCATTTATATTCAACAATATCAAGAAAACCTCTTATTCGATAAGAGTGCTTAACTACGTGTATGCTTGTGCAAGTATCCTAACATAGTTCATAACAGCTAGTGAGCATAAGGAAAAGAACGGACAACACGTAGACTATTTTCTCACAACTTTCACAAGATAAAGCTCACACAGGTAAGTGTACCACTACACAAATATCAACAACAAGAATGCCCCCAGGCCATCACAAATCATCACAAATCAATCCCTGACATATCCACCTTGTCTCGCCACGTGTGCAATAGTAAAATAAATGCCTGCCTTGTCTCGCCACACGTGCATAATAATGTTCCAACCTTGTATCTTTACATGCGCAACCCACATATATATATCCCGCCTTGTCATGCCGCATGTGCAAATATCAATAGTAACAATAGCACGACAGAAACCTCGTGCAACCCTATAACAAAGAGATGTCAACAAAGGGCACTCCCGAGATACTGTCTCGTAGTCCCAAAAGTAAATGCTCAACAAGGGATCTCCCGAGGTACCACCTCGTAGTCCCAAAAGTAAATATACAAGACAGGGGGATCTCCCTAGGTACCGCCTCGTAGTCCTAAAGTAAATATGCAAGACATGAGGATCTCCCGAGGTACCTCCTCGTAGTCCCAAAGTAAATATGCAAGAACAACAAGTACAACAGCAACAATAACACTAATACAAGGGTACGACAAATAAATCAACTCAGAAATTGCAGAACTCAAAGGAAATGAGGAATTAATTCACAAGGAGTGGCCACAATAGAGAATGCTAGTCATAATAAGAACAGCTGAACAAGAAAGGAAATTTTATGTAACAACGGTCCACAATGTACAATTCGACAACGAGGGAGCTAACTCAAGGCGAATAATTCCAAATAAGGGCAAGTTAACTAAAATGTAGGATATCTAACTTTTTTTAAGGTTGGCAATTAAGAAAGAGATACAACAAATTCAATTAAGGATGAACAATTACAAAAGAGATAATTATAACTTCAAATAAAGATAAGCAGTTAGAGGAA